GAGAGGGACAGGAAGCAACAGCTGAACTGCTGGCAGAAGAGCTTTCCTGTTAACATTGCCTTTTTTATAGAGTAAGATATTGGCAGCAAAGTACTTAAAGGAAATTATCTTGACCATAACTTAAAGGTTGTTTCAAGACATGACTCAGCTTCAAAATATTGCTTTAGAGTTCATCTCTGATAAAGATCTCACATTTCAATTCTTTTCCAGATTTTCTTTGCTGAAAAAATCATGCTGAAAATCTTTCAGTTCTTCTTTGAGTGCTTGCATATGTCCATTCCATCGAGATGTGTGCACGCCACGTGCATGAGTCCCAGAAGCTTTTTACCCTTCGCAGTATCCATTGGACCAGCCAGGGAATCCCCTGGAGTAGGGATGTAATAGTATAGTCAATTGACCTGTAAGCAAAAGCTTATAGGTTAATGCTATAGATTCCATGCACCCCCTCCTCACGCCAGTACATTTTTTTAGGAGGCTGGCCAGCAGCACAGCTCAGTCCCAGCTTGCGACAGGTCTGGGACCTACCCTGCTGTGGCTCTGCATTTAAAGTGTTATCAGGGGGTAGGCAGGCAGGCAATCTGGCTCAGTTTTGGCTCACGCCAGGTCCAGGAACTAAGCCCCCCTCTTCCCCCCGGACAGGGGCTGCTGCCACCCCTGTATCAGAGGCAGCAGCGTGGGGCAACAGACAGCTGGTCCATGAGAGTAGCTGGTATTTAAACTGGCCCACCCCGCGGCACCGAGGATTTCCAAGAAGGCGCAGAGAGGAAGATCTCTTTCGAGAAGATGCAGCCATTGGCAGAGCTGTGTTGCAATCTATTTCTTTCTAGGTTCCGACCCCTCCGCGTGGGTACAGCTGGGGAATCACCTAGGTGAAATGGACATAAGCAAGCAGTTTCTTACCTTGTAATTGTTGAAGAAGAAAAAACGGTTAATTACCTTGTAATTGTTATTCTTTGCGATGTGTTGCTTATATCCATTCCAACTCCCACCTACCTCCCCTTCATTGGAATGTCTGGCGAGAAGGAACTAAGGGGGTGGAGGGCCAGCAGAGGTATAGATGGGCCAATATAGTGGTGCCACTCCAGGGGGCTCCCCTCCTGGCTCAACATCCAGGATAAATGCTGAGGATAAAAAGCTACCAGAACTCGTATATGCAGCACGTTCACACCTAGGTGGAACAGACATAAGCCACACATCTCGAAGAACAGCAGTTACGAGGAAAGGAACCATTTTAAGTAGCTTCTCACTAACTTTCTATACTTCCTGATTTCACTCATGTTGGGAAGACTATAAGGCCGTGTCTACATTGGCACGATCTTGCGCCAAAGCGGCCACTTTTGCGCAAAAACATGCTGCCTGTCTACACTGGGAGGGAGTTCTTGCGCGAGAACACTGACATTCTAATGTGTGAAATCAGGGCTTCTTGCGCAAGAACTATGATGCTCCTGCTCAGGAATAAGCCCTTTTACGCAACTGTTCTTGCGCAAGACACCAGTGTAGACAGGCAACATTAATTTCTTGTGCAAGAAAGCCCGATGGCTAAAATGGCCATCAGAGCTTTCTTGCACAAGAGAGTGTCTACATTGGCACAGATGCTCTTGTGCAAAAGCACATCTCTTGCGCAAAGGCACATGCCAGTGTAGACGCTCTCTTGCGCAACTACTTTAACGCAAGAACTCTTTCGTTAAAGAGTATTTGCGCAAGATCATGCCAATGTAGACGTAGCCTAAGAGTAGCTCATCAGGCAGTAATTCAACTTCTATTTTAAACGTTAAACATGAAAATCATCTTTAAAAAACACAGAGGAGTAGCCATGTCAGTCTCTAACTTTAAAAACAAGTATTCCTGTGGCACCTGACAGCCTTGTGGGCAAAACCCACTTTCTCAGATGAGATGAGCTTGAGTGGCCACAGGGCTACACATTTTTAAAAAAGAAAACAATTCCAGCAAAAGAGGAGACTCATTTGTTGAGTTGTGAGAAATTTTTTATCCAGATACATGGATTTGTCTTTTGTAATATATGAAGTACAGGTTGAACCTCCCTAGTCTGGAACACTCAGGACCTGACTGGTTCCGAACAAAAGAATTTTCTGGACCATGGGAGGTCAATATTGTTTAGCAGTATTACCAACACTTCTGTGGCTTACTGTGCTGTTAGAGAGCTTCAGGGGGTAGCCGAGTTAGTCTGTTACAGAAAAAAAGCAAGCAAATGGTCTGGTAGCACTTTATTGAGTAATAAAACATGTAGATGGTATCATGAGCTTTCGTGGGCACAGCCCACTTCTTCAGATGACCGGAGTTATGACTAACATCTTTCTGAATGGTATCCTTCCTGCCTTACCAATCTATCCACTGACTTTGATCTTTATCTACTCAGGTTTAGCACCCTTTCTCCTGATACTTTATGTATAGAGGTAGGGGTGGGTGGGTGACAGAGCATCTTTCTCTTCCCTCCTCCCCCTTTTCCCTTCTTCTATTTATTCGAGTTTTCTTATCTCCTAGGCTATGTCTAGATTGCAAGCCTCTTTCGAAAAAGAGTGTCTAGACTGCAACCAGTACTTTAGAAAAAGCAAGCCGCTTTTTCGAAAGAAAGCACCCAGGCAGTCTGGATGCTCTCTTTTGAAAACGCCCTGTTTGCATGCAAGAACACCTTTTTTTGAAAGAGCACTTCTGAAAAAAGGCGTTCTTCCTTGTGAAATTAGGTTTACCGCCGTCGAAAGAAAAGCCGCGTTCTTTCGATTTAATTTCAAAAGAACGCGGCTGTAGTCTAGACGCAAGTGAAGTTTTTTCGAAAAAAGGCTACTTTTTTCGAAAAAACCCTTGAGTCTGGACACAGCCCTAGTGATAACTCCGGTCATCTGAAGAAGTGGGCTATGCCCACAAAAGCTCATGATACCATCTACATGTTTTGTTATAAAGTGCTACCAGACCATTTGCTTGCTGGTTTTTTTGTGCTGTTAGAGGACATTTAGGGGTAAAGTAGAGCTAAGTAACATCACAGAACACTGAGAGCCAGGACTGGTGACTGTAAACGAACTTCATGGAACTTCATGGGACTCTGGATGACACATGTTTCTGGACGACAGAGCTCTGGATTAGAGAAGTTCAACCTGTAGCTTCCTTCTTGGATAATTGTACAGTTCTCTCAAGGTCCAGGTTCACGCCAGGCACAGGGCAACTCTTACATAATTCTACTTGCATCTTAAGTATTTTCACATAGCATTTGGCAGAAGTAAAGGTGCTTGGAGGGTGGAAAAATGCAAGCAGAGAGTGTACTTATATTTAACCTGGTGGCTGCTTGTGTCTCCATGCAATAAGTAACAAGAGGTGGCAGCTTCTTGAATTATTTTTTTTATTCCCAGGCAGGCTCTGAGTTCCAGAGAAGGGTTGCCAGTTGATGATACGATGACAGAGAGAAAAGTTACAAATAGTCAGCTTCTAAAATATTCATGGACTGGAAATCATGTTGTGTGTGGAATTCATGTTCTTTATCTGGTGATAAAGGAAGTAGGGTGCAGATATGTCCACTGGTGGTGGTGTATTTGTGTGGCTCAGATCCATGGTATAACTAATTGTAGTAATTGAAGCTGCTCTCCTTTTTTTCAGACAGTTAAGGGAATGCTGGATAACCCCAATGAACCCGTAAGCGACCTCTCATACTTCGATTGTATTGAGGGTGTTATGGAAAACTCCAAGGTAATTCTATTCCTCTGCTTCCATATGTGGATGTGTTAAACAATTTCTAGTCAAAAGAGGTGTCTGCATGATAATAAAATAGATTGAAAAAAGAATGTCTGCTTCTGGGAAAAATTGTTTTCTGTATTCTTATTAAATTCCATGGTAAAACTTCTTTTGAGGCTCGTGTAAGCAATCTTTATGTTTGGATTTTTTTGATCATCTGAAGACCTATTGTGCTGATAGCATTTAAGATCATGTGGTTGCCATGATGTTGTCTGAGATCTAACTGACCTAACAATCTAAATACCTCAGGATATCAGCTAGGGATGTTAAGTAGCAGTTAATAAGCTAATCAAGTAGTCAATGAAATTTCCATCGACTATTCAGTTAGTTTTAAGGGGATTAGCTCCCAGGGGCAGTGCAAGCGGGGACTGAGGAGTCCCCGTTCGCACTTGCTCTAGGACCACTGTGGCTTTTCCTTTTAAATGTAGTAAGAGCCGCTCTACATTTAAAAAGCAGAGCTGCAGCTGTCTGGGACCTGACAATCCCAGCTTGCGTTGGGTGCCCCTCTGCACTGCTTCCTCCCCTGCCACTCTCCCCCTGCCATATGGAGATGGTGGAGGGAGGAACCAACTTTTGAGCCAGCTCTTCCTCCCTCCCCCTACCGGCTCCCCCCCCCCCTTTACTGCCTCTGAAATAGAGACAGCAAGGGGTAGGGAAGCGAGTAGTCAAGGCTTATCAGTAGTCGATTTATATCCCTAATACCAACAAGTACTGTAAAATCTGGTTTTTGTTTTTTTTTATCTGAGGAAGTGGGTCTGGCCCACGAAAGCTCATCATCTAATAAAGCATCTTGTTAGTCTTTAAAGTGCTACATAGTCCTGCATTTTGCTTCAGCTACACCAGACTAACACGGCTACATCTCTATCACTATGTAAAGTCTGGGTTATTTTTAACCATTTTGTGTCCTGTGCCTAAACTAGAAAAAATCATATAGCTTCATTTATACACACAAAAGCTGTTAATTGACTAGCTTTGCCTGTGGAACAAAACTTGTTTCAAACTGAGGTTTGAATTGAAATTAATTTTTCACTGTATCTGCCATTATCAAAAATTCTGTGTTTAAAGTTACTACTACATTACCGCAAAAGTGTTTTACAGTGAAAATCTTAACCATGCACTAGAAATCCTTGACTGAAAGTCTTATTGCATCTTCATTTTGATCTTGTATGTGATACATTAGAATTGTCCCAAAGTCTTTAGAATATGAAAGAAAAAGAGGCTGCCTAATGCACTAGAGCATGAATTAATTTGCTTTGGTGCTATACCAAAGATATTGCAAGCTAAAAACAAACCTAGTAGAATCAGAACCATAGAGCTGGAAGAGACCTTAGGAGGTCGTCAAGTCCAGCCCCCTGCTCTAGGCAGGACCAATCCCAACTAAATCAACCCAGCCAGGGCTTTGTCAAGCCGAGACTTAAACACCTCTAGGGATGGAGACTCCACTACTTCCCTAGGTAACCCATTCCAGTGCTTCACCACCCTCCTAGTGAAATAGTTTCAGTAAGGCAGGCTTCAGTGAGACAAACAGTTAGATTTAACAGGCATTCCAATATTGGGATATTTCCTATATGTCAAGCTGCAAATGCCTTTTCTGCAACGTTTCAGGAAGCATTTGGGAGCAGATGATGAGGCTGTACTGAGTTGTTACCTCTGCTCCTTTGTGCTGTTCAGGAAAGTTTGGGAAACACTCCCATATAGAGTGAAGTAAACTGAGGGAATAATTTATTCTGTTTCAATTGTTAAGGTCCTTGGAGAATCAATGGCAGGCATTTCCCAGAATGCCAAGATTGGGGATCTTCTGGTCTTTGGAGAATGTGTTGGAGTTGCTTCCAAAGCTCTTTGTGGTCTCACAGAGGCTGCAGCTCAGGTAAACATTTGATCAGGAAGCCCATAAAACAAATATGAGTCTGTTTCTGTACAGCTGTATCTTGTGTGCGTGAATATTTCATTTGTGTTGGCCAAAGAATCAAAATAGTTGTATTGTTGAGTGTTTTTCATCTTGGAAGATTGGGACAGACATTAACTAATAAGGCAATATTGTAAGGTGAGGAAAACAATATTATGCCTCTTTGGAGGGAGAATGAGACAGGGAGGTTAAATGAGTTTCCCAAGGTTATAGAGGAAGTGAGTGTCAGAGCCGTGCCATGCATTTGTGTTTCAACCTCCCAATTCTATGCATAGTCCCCAAGATCTTGCCCCCTCAGAACTAATTTAGAGAAGGAAGCACAGAGAAACCTGAGTTACTTTGAAGCTGAGTGATTTGTGCTTTGTGTATTAAGCACAAAGAAAGCATTCTGGGGTCATTTCTAATATTCTGTCCATATCTTCAAGCTACACATAATCTCTTTCGCTTTTCGCGCAGGAAAAGAGATTATGGTAAATGTATGTCGTAGACCTATTACAACTGTCTGGATATTTTCTCAGTATCTAAGAAGCTTAAACTGTTGCAATGTTCAGAGGTGTCATTAATATAGTTGGATCAGGCTGCTAACACTGTGTACAGGCACCCCCCGAGTTACAAACATCTGACTTACGAACATACAAAAGCTCACCTTCAGGGACGTTCTGGTGCTCCTATCCCCAACAGCAACTGGAAGATGCAGGTGGTGAGTTTTTTTTAGAGATGTGATTTTTATTATCCTCAGCAACACACTCGTGAGTTTACAGAACCTTAGTTTAAAATTTTCTTTAAAAATACCTAACTCAGTAAATTCAGAAACTGACAGTGTATATGTGGGGTTGGCAAATGCCTGTTCAATTGCTTCATTACCACCTAAATGGCACTTTGATAGGTTCAGTGTTCTGCTAATAGGTCTAGCAGGTGTTTTCAGTTTCAAGTTAACTAGGTCCTCTCTGGAGGAAGCAGAGCCAGAGAACAGGGATAGGAAGAAGTGGGTGGACGTTAAGACACAGCCTCAGGAGAGCAGGCAAGGCACGTAGGTGGTGGCAAGCAGCATAATGCTGGCCAGAGAACTCTAGTGGAGCAGAGAGTGGTCACAGTGGCTGGAGAGAAGCAGCACTTTGAAGGGGAAACCTGCCACTTCTCTCCAGCCACTGGCTGCACCCCTGCTCCTCTGGAATCCACCTGCCGGTTCTCATGTTGCTTGCTGGCTAGAGGATAAGACTGGCTGCATGAGCCAGCGCAGAGCCAAAGGGGCAGCCAAGGGAATTTACACCTACCTCCTCATTTGTTTCTAATTAAACTGCCATTCTTCAAGCAGCATTCAAGGTTAAATGAAAAAACGATTTCTATTATTTTTTATTGCAAGTACACATTATGGATTAAATAGGCTTTTGTGGGCTAGCCTGTGAACCTAACGACCATTTATAACATTATTTTGTGTGAAAATATGTTCCAAGTTCTAAAGAGCTGACCTACAAATGAACTTTAGGAACACAACCTGTTCCGTAAATTGGGGACTTCCTGTACTTCAGACCAGCCTGCTTCCCGAGTTACTCGGCTGCTCCCCCTTGTGGCGAAAAGTGATATTGCCTTCTCCGTGGAGGAGCTCTCTACGAGGGACCATCCCTTGCAACTGCAACTTGCTCTGCCACTCCCTCCCCCGCAAAAAAAACCCTAAATAATCTGTGAATGTGAGCTTTCTGGTCCCACAATTAAAGCCCTGGGTTGATTTGTTGAGGGAGGTGATGGCATGTGAAAATTTTACGCTCTGTAAGGAAAATCAGAAAGTAACTTCCAAACATAGCTTTGCCTCTATAAAAAATCCTGATCTCTATGGTGAGAAGGGTAGAATCATTGTTTAAATAAAAACTGAGATTAGTACTGACCATTATATGTATTTACGTGGGGTGTGGCCTGCAGCATCAGGCTTCCTGGGCCCAATGATCAGCTCTACAAACCAAGTGTCTCTTTCACGGCATGAGTAAAATGTGTCATTTTACACATGGTTGCTATGTTGTGTATTGAAGAGGATAGGTTTTTTGTTTTGAGGCT